TAGGTGTCTGTTCTTGTCTATTGAACATTTTTTGATCATAGATGGAGATAATCCTCACCTTAATCTTGCTACAGACCAGGATTGCCTGGCAGCATAAGTTACCATGGTTACTAGGCTGGGATTCAGGTTAACCACCTTGATGGAGTTGTGGCTCAGGTTTATGGAACGGAAACCAGAGTTTAGCTCGATGTATCAGGCTTAGCCAGAACCATAGTTTCCATGGTTACCGATGTGAGGCTAATCCATCAAAGCCACTTTGATGGAACAGAACTCTGACTCACATTAGCCACACTTGGCCATTTAAGCCTGGATTTGCCTTTAGCCTGCTTGATGGAATACCCCCCTGGGTGTTTTAGCGGCATGCAGCAGCATTCTCCAGCTGCATTTTTTGGCACCAAGCCTGTTTTTTTTTTGACCGACATGTTGCGGCATTTCCAGGAGCTTTTGTGCCACTATATGTGAATGTTTCTTGGTTTTGTGCCTAAAGCTAACAACACCTTCACCACAGTGTTGTTGAAAAACATAAAATATATCTGCTACAAACTAAGATACAAATGTAACATAATGCAATCGGGTTGAGCTGCAGCCCAATCACACTTTTACATGTTAAAAACAACTCACTGTTCCCGTTTGTTTGTTACACTGGCTGCTGGTAAGCATCAAACAGCTGTGATTACAGTGACATGCAGCAGAGCCATACACCTGCAAACTGATCCATACTGCTCCATGGGTGCATCAACCACCTCTTTACAGTGTGTGTCTGCATGCAAGTGTGCTGGGTGTGTGTGCATACAACTCTGCTGAAAGCATTCTCTCCCTGTGAGACTGATTGAGGCTCACTGAGATCTATGTGTATGTGTTTGGATCCCCACTGAGGTGAGACTGATTGTCTTTGATAGCACAAAGCACAAATTACTGCAAGAGAGCGTGAGAGACACTGAAACAGAGAGCAGAGAGAGAGAGAGAGAGAGATGAGGTATTCTATATGTTTACACAGCCGCAGTGTTCCAGGCCGACCTCCCAAAGCATCTCAGATGGTTTTCCAATTTATGAATTCCTATATTTGGCTGCTCAGGCTTCACAGAAGGGCTTAGTTTTTATTACATTCTGTTTGCTATAAAACACTCTGATCAGTATGACCATCATAGGACATTTTAGTCAACGCCTGCTTAGACTCTCTACAGTTCTGACCTTACTAGAGGAAAGCACAGGCCATTTTTTACATGTTGGTTTGTTTGGGTTGTCTCAAATGTGCCGAGAATGACAGATACCTTTTAAAGAATTGCTGTTATTTTCAACCTTGGCCTTGTTTTTGAAGATTTTATTGCCATTTTCTACAGTGGCAAGTTTATAGTTTAGTTTATACTATAGTTTATAGTTTTATCAGTGACTTCGGTGTTCCTCTGATTCCTCTGCTTTCTAATACACACTCAGCCAAATGCCAAAGCATTCCATTGTTATTATTATCATCATTATTATTAAGGTCTTTATATTATTGTGTATCTTCCCAGTAGTGTTCCTTATGTATTCAAATCCCAACATCCAAATTATGGTAGAAGTATGTATGATTTAGCATCAAAATGCTTTTTTCCCAGGCCATCTTAAAAACATTTTCCCTTATGACCTGACATAGGTTTCTGTATGATGACGTAGCAACATATAAACCCCTCAGCCCGCCAAATGTGCCCTTTTGTAACTGAGTATTGTGTGTTATCGATCTTTCATGTGGTTCCATTGGCTTCATCACAAGGTAAATGGTAGATGGACCTGCATTTGTATAGAGCCTTTCTAGTCATCCGACCACTCAAAGCGCTTTTTACACTGTTAGTCACATTCACCCATTCACACACACATTCATACACTGATGGCCAAGACTACCATCCAAGGTGCCACCTGCTACTCAGTTTTTTTTTTTTAGTCACTCACACACCGATGGAAGCATCATCAGGAGCAATTTGGGGTTCAGTATCTTGCTCAAGGAGACTTCCGCATGCAGACGGGAGGACCCGGGGATCAAACTGATCTTCTGATTGGTGGACGACCCGCTCTACCTCTGAGCCACAGCTGCCCCAGGTGACCTCCAGCAAACACTGGGGTGGTTTGTAGCCAATTGTGAGGAGGTCGGAATGAGAGTCAGCTCCTCCAAGTCTGAGGTCACGGTTCTCTGCCAGAAAACAGTGGATTGCTCTCTCTGGGTTGGGAGAGTTGCTGCCTCAAGTGAGTGAGTTCAAGTATCCTGGAGTCTTGTTTTTGAGTAAGGGTAAAATGGAGCGTAAGATGGAATAGGCAGTAGCATGGTGTCTGCAGTGATACGGGTGCTGTGTCAGACTGTTGTGGTAAAGAGGGAGCTGAGCCAGAAGGCAAAGCTTTCAATTTACCGGCCTATCTACTTCCCAACCCTCACCTACGGTCATGAGCTATAGGGAGTGACCACAAGAATAAGATGACAGATACAAGTGGCTGAAATGAGTTTCCTCTGTAGGGTTGCTGGGTTCAGCCTTAGAGATAGGGTGAGGAGCTTAGACATCCAGAGCAAGCTTGAAGTAGAGCTGCTGCTCCTTTGCAACAAAAGGGGAAAATTGAGGTGGTTCGGGCATCTGATCAGGATCTTCCTGGGTGCCTCCCCTTAAAGGTTTTCTGGGCCATGGACAAGTGGATGAAAATGGAAGGATAGATGGATGACGAACAATTAGCCAACAGCAAGTACTTCGTACTAGCTGTACCAGCTCCCTCGCAATCTCCCTCCAGCCAGCTGCCACTTTATTTTTCGGTTTTTGTAGTGAAATAAGAAGGTACCCGTATTCTTCATTTCAACTTCATGAATGAGCCATTCCTCATCCAATGTGACACTTTCAAAGTGAGTGACAGGAATAAAAAGAAAATTGGTGTTCGATAAAAGTTCAGTTCATCGTATATGAATACTGCCATACTGGTGCAGTTTGAGTTTTCTATAGAGACTAACTCTGCCACGTGACATCTCTGAAATTTGATATCCTTCACATTGCTGTGCTTAGCTCATGGCCTGCCAGACACAAATGGCTTCACTAGTCCATTTATAAACAAATATAATACAGTGTTAATTACATTGTCATATTTTTTATTGCTTATGCTATATGAGATGGATTTAGCAGCATGACGCTGTCAGCACGGGTTGGTGGTGTATGTTACTTTTTAATTTGCCAAAATGTGTCATAATGACAAATGCCGGGTCAGCCAGTTTGCATAAAATCAAACTGGTTTAACCTCGTAAACTCAGCCGGACCAGCAAAACCGGAAATCGACCCAGGTCTTCTGTGGATGCCACACTTTAAAAGTACAGTTTGTGAAATAAACTGAAATGAACTACAGAATGCATTTCTCACTTGAGTTGAGTGTATTACTGTGATTGCACTGTATAAGTGTTAATTTTGACATTCAAATTTTCAGATTGCAGGCACTGCTGGAGTAGCACATTTGTTTACTGTTTATGCACAGTCCTGATGGCAGATATTGTTGCAGCTTGAAAAATATTTCTTTATATCCTGATTATAATCACCACTGGGAGATGGAAATGTGAAGGTTTTTCCAGTAAGCAGTTTGTATTTTACACATACTGTAAATGCAACATTGTGGCTGTAGGCTTTCGGGCTGTTCTCAAAAACTGTACATTTTCCTACAAAAAGTAATGCACCCAAGTAACCCATGTATTTTGAAAGGCTGCAATCAAGTAACCAATGCGCCGACAGGAGTAAATAAGGAAGCAGTCCCGAGCGGTCCTGTAAGGGGCAGTACACATGACGTATTTTTTGCACCCTCAAATTAATTGTTTTCAATGTAGACGCGCGGCAGGCATGCTCAAACGCCAGAGCGATGCAAGCATTCCCAAGCGCCTATTTTTCAGGTTGCAACGGCTGCACCGCCAAATAAACTGAGGTCAACTATTGGAACACAGCCCACCGTAAATATCAGTCTGTGATAAATATGGAGAAAAGTTGATCATTATAGTGCAGGGCTGCCAGAGTTTAACATCTGTCCCACAGCCAATTGGCCTACACACAAACCACATTTAGTAACCTTAAATGCAATCTGCCACAATGCTCTTGAAAGCTGGCATAGAAAAGGCACAAGAGTAGCACCCAGCACCTGACCTCACATTTTACCAAGCGGTTAAAGACAGCATGCGTATGACCCCCAGGGAGGCAGGTTGGGGTGGTGAATGGGTCACAAAATTGCAGACTCTCCCCCAAGACCTTCCCTTGTGTTTGGATTTGCTTGACTTTTGAATCATTTTAAAGTATGTCCCCACCATATTTCTTTTCCTAAACCTAACCTCAGTAACTTGTCTACACCTAACCTCCATAATTTTACATTATTAGGTAATTGTACGTTAAGAACATAACGTCATGCATGTGGTGCTAATTCATAAGATATTATACTAACTGTTGTGTGAACACTTTGGATGTTATACAAACCGTTCATTGAGGATATGTTATGGTTTTAAAAACATTTCAAGAGAGGCTCATCTGACTTAACACTAAATTGAAACTGTGTAATAAATAGTGAAATTGTTATCATTTTTAGAAGGGTGAAAATAACCAACATCAAATACAATTTTAAAAAGCCATCAATATATAGACACAACCATACCTTCAAAACACTCTACTATATGCCACTGCTCAGTACTACTACTTTGAGTGCTAATAGTACCAATATCACATACCCATGAACACCACCACAAACAACAGGACGAACAACAGGTGACTGTGTTCACTGTTGATGGAATTTAGCCATGTACTGTATCATAGAAGGCAGCATACCTGTCTAAGTCCATCTACAGATGTCAGGACCACCTTACTTTTTGTGGGTTGCCAAGCGATGCATAAACTGTCTGATCAACCCAGTCATCACTTTAATCTTTAAAAACTGACGAGTTGAATACATGAATTCTGCATCTGAAAACAAAACAACCATTTCATCTGAAGTTTAAGAAGTTAAAGTGAACATTTAATGACGTTACTCACCTCTCTCCACTCCTTGGTGCCTAGGCCTTGCACGTACAACACCACCACTGAGAAGACAAACAAACAATGCCTAAGTTACATTTCAAGGCACAGCACACATCATGGATGCACATAATCATAGGTGCAGCACTGCAGTACAGCTTGCAATTTTTTTAGTAAATCTAATGACTAGCATCTACACAAAAGCTAAAATAACTATAGAATAAAAAAATTAGAAATGCATAAATATTCATAAAATGTACAATTACATCAAACTCTGTATGCATGAAATATGAATGAGAGTAGTACAACAAAAGATTAAACTTTGATTGTGACTGCAAGGAAAATGGTGTTGCTGCAGAACAATAATAGGGTACTGAAGGGAAAAAATCCAATTTAAATAATAATTGAAATTAAGTCATTGAATGAGTGAGATATAAAAAAATCTACTGTAAAAAATATATCATCAAAGACTCTAATCTGAATCTCTTCCCAGTGTCTTGATGCAGAAAGTTGACTTATTTATTGAATACAAAATGATCTCTTTATTTAAAGAAAACTGTGGACTGGGTGGACTCAACCACAGTGTTTTTGTATCACAGGAAGTGAAACCCTGAACAACACCTTAAAGCTGCCCTGTGGACTTTTCTTGCAAATAAATGGAAACAGTAATGGACTTAATATTTTTTGACCACCTCTCTAGTATTCAACCATTCAAGGCATCTTTACTCTACAAAACCACATTCACACACACACACATTCACACACTGGTGGCCAAGACCACCATACAAGGTGCCACCAGCTCATGCGCTCACACGTAAATAACAGAGCCATCAGGAGCAATTTGGGGTTCAGGATCAGGGGATCAAACCTCTGATCTGGCTCTACCTCTTGAGCCACACCCACCAAAAACATCACATAAAGTGTTACCCACATGCATTGGGCCTCATTTATGTGCATAAAAATACATTATTGGGTGGGGCTGTGGCTTGGAAGATCAGTGGTTCAATCCCTGGCTCCTCCAGTCTGCATGTCGAAGTATCCTTGAGCAAAAAAATTTGAAAACAAATTTGGTCCACAAATACTGTTGCAGAGTGAGCACTTTTGACTTTCATTCTACTCTTTGGTTTACACAGCTACATACATGATGCAGTGGCACAGAGGAGGAGAAAACTTTCACCATAAGGCTCTGAGATAATATTATCTTGTTTCCTATATGACATGAATGCAGCTGTCACACTGACTGTCCTGCTGAGCCTGTTTGAATTTTAAAACTTTATATGGAAAAAAACCCATCTAATATTCATATTAAACATCAGATTCTGATTTAACCAACATAATTATGAGTCGGGTACAGCATGTTAGCATGGGTAGAGCAAACAAAATGTCATGATTCTGTTACACCCTAAATCATGGTTGATGATGACATTTTTTTACATCAACATCCTTACTTTCCGCAATACCTGTGTATTGTAACTACACTATGGTTATGGGTTGGGAAAGGTTGTGGTTATGACAAATAGTTGCCAAATGGTTAAGGTACAGTTAGGGTGAGACATCTAAATAACACATTCTTACTCCCAATTTGTCACGTTTGTTCAATGGCCCTACACCTGCTAACAGCATGCATCTTTGATGATCCTATCACAAGTTGACATGTATGAGTGCAAGTATAAACGACCATCAAGCACATTAAGTTTTGACTACTCAAACCATTTGCCAAGATGGTCTGGGACTCATTTAGCAAATTATCTCTTGTAGTGTAAACACTAATGCATCCTGATGCATCCCTGACAAGGATTATATCAGTGGAGGGCACGGTGGTTGTTTTGCCCATTTTACAATGAGTTGGAGGAGGTGTTACATGGCCGCCCATCGTCTTACCCTGTGGGAGGAGATGTGTTGAATTCTGTAGACAGCAATATCTCCAGCTACACAGACTCAACCACGATAGTGACATGCTATTAGGTAGCTAGCAAGAGTGCTGACATAATAACTGTGCATTAAGCCCTTTGACTTAAAGTGTAAGTGACGTAGTGACAAAATCGGAATACTAGTGGTCAGCTGGAGAAGCACGTTAGACACAGGTGTGAACAGCGATGTGTCTCAGCATTCCACTTGTGTTTGGAGCCCTGAAATGCATGTTAATACCAGGTGTAAACAGGCTCTCTGACACTTTACGTACCCATTTAGTGTGAGTTTTGGACTTAATGCATACAGTTTCCCAAACTTTCCCAAAACTTCTACCATAGGTTCACTTTGTTTGTAGCTTTACTTCCTTTGGTTTAGGAAACGATAGTACATGTTTAGGTTTAGAAAAAAACGTCATGATTTGACTTACAATAAGTCAGTTGTTACTAACGTAATGCCACGTGACATACATCACTAGATGTTATTAAAATAAGACTTTTGGTTTTATACAGGACATGAACAGTGTTCTCCTGAGTCAAAGTCCTGAGTCCTTAGTGTGTTTTGACCTCCTGTCCTATTTGTGAATTTTTTGCTCTTTTTGCTATGACAGATGCCCAGAGAGTCACAAAATGATGGCCCCTGGTGAGTCTCATACCAACACTAAAGGGCACTTCAGTACATAGGTATCTGATACCTAGAGCCACTGCCCAGGAGCCGGTATTTGACAAGTTGAAGAAAAATACTTGATTACGGTTCCAAACAGTTAAAGATATGGAAAATACATACACTCTACATATATATGTATATATATATATATATATATACAGTACAGGCCAAAAGTTTGGACACACCTTCTCATTCAATGCGTTTTCTTTATTTTCATGACTATTTACATTGTAGATTCTCACTGAAGGCATCAAAACTATGAATGAACACATGTGGAGTTATGTACTTAACAAAAAAAGGTGAAATAACATGTTTTATATTCTAGTTTCTTCAAAATAGCCACCCTTTGCTCTGATTACTGCTTTGCACACTCTTGGCATTCTCTCCATGAGCTTCAAGAGGTAGTCACCTGAAATGGTTTCCACTTCACAGGTGTACCTTATCAGGGTTAATTAGTGGAATTTCTTGCTTTATCAATGGGGTTGGGACCATCAGTTGTGTTGTGCAGAAGTCAGGTTAATACACAGCCGACAGCCCTATTGGACAACTGTTAAAATTCATATTATGGCAAGAACCAATCAGCTAACTAAAGAAAAACGAGTGGCCATCATTACTTTAAGAAATGAAGGTCAGTCAGTCCGGAAAATTGCAAAAACTTTAAATGTGTCCCCAAGTGGAGTCGCAAAAACCATCAAGCGCTACAACGAAACTGGCACACATGAGAACCGACCCAGGAAAGGAAGACCAAGAGTCACCTCTGCTTCTGAGGATAAGTTCATCCGAGTCACCAGCCTCAGAAATCGCAAGTTAACAGCAGCTCAGATCAGAGACCAGATGAATGCCACACAGAGTTCTAGCAGCAGACCCATCTCTAGAACAACTGTTAAGAGGAGACTGCGCCAATCAGGCCTTCATGGTCAAATAGCTGCTAGGAAACCACTGCTAAGGAGAGGCAACAAGCAGAAGAGATTTGTTTGGGCCAAGAAACACAAGAAATGGACATTAGACCAGTGGAAATCTGTGCTTTGGTCTGATGAGTCCAAATTTGAGATCTTTGGTTCCAACCGCCGTGTCTTTGTGAGACGCAGAAAAGGTGAACGGATGGATTCCACATGCCTGGTTCCCACTGTGAAGCATGGAGGAGGAGGTGTGATGGTGTGGGGGTGTTTTGCTGGTGACACTGTTGGGGATTTATTCAAAATTGAAGGCACACTGAACCAGCATGGCTACCACAGCATCCTGTAGCGACATGCCATCCCATCCGGTTTGCGTTTAGTTGGACAATCATTTATTTTTCAACAGGACAATGACCCCAAACACACCTCCAGGCTGTGTAAGGGCTATTTGACCAAGAAGGAGAGTGATGGAGTGCTGCAGCAGATGACCTGGCCTCCACAGTCACCGGACCTGAACCCAATCGAGATGGTTTGGGGTGAGCTGGACCGCAGAGTGAAGGCAAAGGGGCCAACAAGTGCTAAACACCTCTGGGAACTCCTTCAAGACTGTTGGAAAACCATTTCAGGTGACAACCTCTTGAAGCTCATGGAGAGAATGCCAAGAGTGTGCAAAGCAGTAATCAGAGCAAAGGGTGGCTATTTTGAAGAAACTAGAATATAAAACATGTTTTCAGTTATTTCACCTGTTTTGTTAAGTACATAACTCCACATGTGTTCATTCATAGTTTTGATGCCTTCAGTGAGAATCTACAATGTAAATAGTCATGAAAATAAAGAAAACGCATTGAATGAGAAGGTGTGTCCAAACTTTTGGCCTGTACTGTACATATATATATATATATATATATACAGTACCAATCAAAAGTTTAGACACACTTTCTGTACAGAGACTGCTGGTACAAATGGACTAGCAGGACTAAGCCCTGCCTATCTTTTACAATAAATACGAGAAAATTATTAAATTAAAGAAAATATTAAAATATTAGTTATTGAACCTTAGAACTGATTGTTTTTGGTGGAACCTATAGGCTAGCAGCAACAGCACTAAAATAGTCACAAAAATGCGGGATTTATCAAAATGGGCTGATTTTTTACAGCCCATACTTCTAGAATCAGCTTCCAATCATTGTTGTCACATCGTGAGTGACAGGTGTCGTGACAAGCCCCCTTGATTTACTGTCCAGTTGGACTAAATTAATTCAGCCCAGGCCACTGACTTTTGGACAGTGACCGTGCGTGGAAGTACAGTGAGGGCCTGCCCGCTGTTACTGTAGTGGGAGAGTGAGCATTGAGTCTTGTGAATTGCGTTAGCATCATGCTGAACGAGGTGGATTATTTTAAATGCTGTCTATCGAGCAGGACCTCATCCAAAAATCATCAGACTTAAATGACTTGGTGATTAACCTGTTTGCATCCCAAAAAGGCAGTCGATGTGAGCTTCTCTACAAATAAGGTAGGCCCAAGTAGGACTGGGCGGTATTCGCGGTGACAGTAACTTACCGCAGTAAACATGAGCTGCAGTACTGCTTTTGTGG